AAAGATTTTTCTAGAAAAACCTCAATTGAAAATGAATTGTATTCAAAGTTATAAATATTGATATCATCAAGTTTAAACAAATAAAAATCAAAACCTTTAATGCGGCAAAACTTTGCAAGATCTCCGTTTTTTTTCTATGTTCTTTGACATTGTTCTCATGCTCAATTTTCTGATACACTCTTTTTTCTTTAGCGGCGAGAAGCTCCTCTTCCTCTTTGAGGATCCTGATCCCCATCAAGGATTTTTGTTGCTCCCTCACTCAGTTCAAAGTCACAAATCACATGCTTACTTTAGTTAATTTTTTAACCTTAATCGTATTTTTTACCTAAAAATTTAATCTTTTTTTTCCATTATTATCATAGGGGGGGAATGATTTTTCAACAAAATATACACCCCTGGTCTTAAATGGCAGAAGGGAAAAAAATCAATAAACTTACTCATCATCTTGCTTCACAAATTTTCTTCCTAGAAGCTCCTCTTTCTCAGATCAATTATAGATAAAAAGGAAATTGCAAAATTGTTTGTAACTGTTTGTTGTATTTAATGTTTGATCTTTAGATTTTTTTAATAGAAAAGAACTTACTTTGTGTCTACACAACTTGTTGCTTTTTCAATTAAGGACGCTACCTGAGCTAATCTGCTTTTCTTAGTCACAGGAGCAGCATGTGAAACAGTAGTATTCCTTTTCTTTTGTTGTGGAGGAAGTTCTGTTGGGAAGTTCTGCTGAAGTTCTGCAGAAGTTCTGCTGAAGATGATGTTCATTTGGCGGAAGTTCTCTTAGCTCCTGCTGCAGATGATGTTTATTAAGGTTCTGCTGCAAATCTTGTTGCACAAGCATGGGTTGTGGCTGCTCCTGGTCTTTAAAATATTTCATTTTACAAACTTTTGTTTAAATGTGTTTGCTTCCATTTCGTTAAAAAATTACATTGAAAATGACACCCTAATTTGCTATAAATTCAAATACAATGAATATATTCCTGAGAACTCAATTTCCAACATTGCATTTCTAAGAATATCAAAATCATCCATGATCACAGGCTGAGGATGAGATTGAGGTTGAATTTGAGGTTGGTGTTGAATATGAGGTTGAGTTTGAGGTTGAGGTTGAGGTTGAGGTTGAGGTTGAGGTTGAGGTTGAGGTTGAGGTTGAGGTTGTTGAGGAGCTGGAGCAGTGGAGGAGGGGATGGTCTTAGTGGTCCTTTTTGCTGAAGTAAATGAAGAACCAAATTCGGTCATTAAACTAAATTTTAGGTTCAGATTCTGGTCCTCACTATTTGTTTAATATAGTTTAATATATAATCTGTACGTTAAAAAAATTACAAAATTTGTCTTCATTGTATTGATATATACACATATATACACGAAAATTCAAATAAAAAACGTTTTTTTACAGTACTCTGCCAGCCACTCTTTTAAATGAATGACCATTAAAAATTATATGTTTACAGTTCCATTAAAATGTAAGAACAGATAAACCAATTCCTGATCACCAGAGGATCCATAATTGGGGCATCAGGAATACTGCTTCCTCCCCCGGTTCTACTCCTGTATCTGCTGCTTTTCATTTCTTTCTGCTGCAAATATCAGCTCCTGGCTGATAGATTCACGGAACGATTTTTGCTGTTTATTCCGTCCTATACTAAAATAAATTTATAAATCCACTGAGTATTGGGTAAGGATACTAAAACAAAAATAGTTCAAATTAGTTCAAATGAAAAACAAAAATAGTTCAAATGAACAACAAAAATAGTTAAAATGAACAAAAAATAGTTTAAATGAACAAAAACTTAGTTAAAATGAACAAAAAAAATAGTTAAAAGCAGCGCTCAGCCCCTAACCTGTCCTGAACAATTTTTTTTGTTCATTTAAACTATTTTCATGTTCATTTGAATTGGACTATTTTTATGTTTATTTAAAATATTTCATTTGAACTATTTTTTTTGTTCATTTTAACTATTTGTATTTTCTTTAAAACTATTTTATGTTCATTTAAATCTTTAATTGTATGACCTTCATGAATTATTCCATATTCATGGAATACATGTATCCACCCTAGGGAAGACTTTTTATACTTAAAGTATTTTCAAAATGTTCTCAATCCAATCAAAGACGATATTTACATTTTTCTTTTATTTCATATGTGTATTAGGACACTCTGTGGTTATAAAATTCTTACTTCTTTACTTTATCTTTCATTTGGTGAAAGGGGACACCACTAAATCCATTAGTCTGAGCCCCAGTTGAGAAGTCGTGGTACCCAGATCCAATAAGCGTTAATCAGGTTTGCATTACAAGTCTAAAATATTTTTAAAAAGTTTTAGCATTACACTTGCATTTGCAAATATGAAGATATCCTCATTTTCCTAACTGATGACTGCTTATTTTGAATGTTCGGGTCTCTGTAAAATGGACGGCGGGATTTATATGTAAAGAAAGAAATTACCATATCAATGAAACTCTTTAATTGTGTTGACATTGAAATTGTGTTTATGAATTTAAGATAAATTAAGATACCTTGGTATGAATTGTCATTTCCAAAAGTTTTCGGAACTTGCCCTCAGAGGGAGGGGGTGCAGAGGCGCCATGATTCCCGCAAAAATGACCTCTGAGCCTCAGGATTTGCAGAATTACCTCCAGGCCCTGCAAAACTGGTCTCCCAGCCTCAGTGACGTCACCAAGCCTCCCGCCATTCTGTCTCCACGCCCTGCATTTTGGTCTCCACTTGTTGTTTTTATTTTTTGTTTAAATTTATTGGCTTAGCCAAACAAATATCAAAATATATCTCTTCATAGTAGACTCCGTCATAGTTTAAAGAACCGTTTAATCAACAATTTTGACATGTCAATTCATTCAATTGTTCTGGAGTTGTTTTTCTGTAAAAGTTTACATTAAGATGGAATGAGTAAAAGACGACCTTTATAAACGACTTATCTAATATTTTTGAAGTCATCATGATTTGAAGATTTTATTAACTCTCGATTCCTTAGCATTACATTTTATCATAAAAATGCAAATTAATGAGTATCTGTCCTATAATATACGAGTTTTTGCGCACAACCCCCCCCCCTCTGTATATCAATTTTTCAGTCAAATAAATGAATTCTCTCACAAGATATGAAACGAAGCTGCCCTAACCTGTTAGTATAGCATGTAATAGATATTTAGATTATTTTAATACAAATACAAGGATTTCACAAAAACTACCTTGTTTTGTAAATTGCCGCTGATATTGTTTGATTCATATATGAGACCCCTCTAAAATAATATAACATTTTTCTATCTTTACACAAAACTGCAATAGTTCTTCACAATTTAAGGAATTTGTGAAATTTAGAAAAACAAACTACACGCCTTTCATCTCAATTAAAATTCACTTTTTAATACAAAATGTCAATGTATCATTCTAAACTTTTCATCATGTTGAGAATTTTTAAAAAAAGGTTCTTGGTTGAAATAAAAGCCACATATTTTTTATTGGAGCCAAAATGCGGGGCGTGGAGACAGAATGGCGGGAGACTTGGTGACGTCACTGAGGCTGGGAGACCAGTTTTGCGGGGCCTGGAGGTAATTCTGCAAATCCTGAGGTTCGGAGGTCATTTTTGCGGGGATCATGGCGCCTCTGCACCCCCTCCCTCGCCCTCATGCAGTTCGTCAATAATCCGGTTGAGAGCTTCCATTAAACATGGTTTCCAGTCTGCTCTCGGGGCACCTAATTAGAAATTATTAGCTACAATACCAGCTGTACAGGGTGCCCCTGTTGATTTAAATATTGAACAAAAAAATTATGTCCAGATTGTATATCTGTTATACTTTCTTTAACCAAGAAAATTACGATAAATGGTAATTATTTATTCCACAAATTAAAATTAATTTAAAATGGCAGATTATCTCGTAATAATGAAAAATTTTGCCCCCCTCCCCCTCTTCCTATCAATTTTGTACATGGGTTTTGGCATGGGCTAGGGAACCTAATATAACCGTAAATATAGACTAACTTGCTGAAAATATTAAAAATAATGGTCATGTACAAAATTTATAACAAAAATCGTTTTCTAAGACGGACTCGTACCCTTAGATTTAGTTGTGTTAACCCTTGATATAATGTTTGCAACACATATTCAAAAACATATTTCCTGTCAGAATCTGATATAATCATTTCTTTCTAAAAAAAACATTTAACTTTTAACTTAACATATATAATATATCTATAAATTAGTTCACAATATTCATGAATTTAACAGATTTTACAGATTGAAATTCAAAATCACAGATTTGTTATTGTTTATTTTAGTTAATCAGCTGATCTAAATTCAGCTGAATACCAGGTTTACCCTATAGGGTAAGTTAGAAAACACAGGGTGGACCCAGTGTTTTCATTTCTTGACAATAGTGTAAATCTACCCAGTGTAAACGGTACGTTGTTGTTGTTTGAACCAGTATAATTCATGACTATCAAATCAGATCCTAGGTATACACTAGTGTAAATGACAGTTTACACTGGTGTAAATCCTTTCTTAGAACGGGCTTTTTTTTTAATTCACGTAACCTTGCAACCAAACCAAACTAATCGTAGGGTAGATAAACCAGCCTTTATCCACCCGTGCGGGTGGATTTACTTATCCTGCTATTAAGACATTGTTAATGCCATGATTTACACCTCTAATGAAACACTACGGTAGATAATCAAGCTTTAAATCCACCTGGCAGGATTTATTAATCGTGCGATTTGGCTTCAACGAAGCGGCCTAGAAGCAACTCTTTTTATTCAATGTGCTATATATATATACTGTATATAGACGTAGCTAGTACAGAACCAAATTCATATATTCAATTTCAGCTGAAACATTCCGGTATGGCGAAGACAACATGACCTATATAGTTTAATTTATCTAGGGTCATGACGCAGAACACAAAATAAAAGAATAAAAAAATTTTCTGTCAAATATTTCGACATCGAAAAATCGATTTTATATATTTTTTTTCAATCCTAAAATTTGTAGATACTGCTGGAAGCATGGGATAACTCCTCGTCATACTGATATTGTCCCCTTCTCCGTCCTCTCTACATCTTCTCAGTACCCGGAGATACAGAACCTTGGGATAGAAAACCAGGACAGAGTCATCTCTAACAAGGGTTTGACGTTGGTGAAGAGAGGAACGAGGATGTCTCTTACGTTCCGTAGAACGATGAGAGGAGAGTGTAAATGTAGATTTCCTGAATTTTGTAACAGGTAAGAGATATTAATGAGAAGGGACAGCACTATGAAATAACAATGTAGGAAAAATTTCTCACTTTAAAATCTTCTCATTCATGGTTACAAAAAAGAGCTTAAGGGTTTGGATATTTATAAATATGCAAGCCGCGGCATGACTTCATCGCAAAGTCAGCCTGGTGTTAATAGTTGGTGAATGATTTTCATAACAGTGTAATGTAATTTGTTTTGAAATCACAATTTATGTGTAAAAGATTAAAGACATAAAAAGTAAAACTTTAATAGTAAATTTTTATAATTTACCTTTAGAATGAAAATCTCTTCTAAAATCTTCTAAATATTTTAGGGGTTCAGGAGAAGTAAGAAAAGAGTTGGAAAACTCTGCAGCTCGAGTTGAATCCTCATTGGTACATGAGGTACATAATACAGCTTTGTATAGATTGATAGTTTAGAGAGAGCCTGTTCTAGTCTGTCTACATTAAGAGCACTTAAAGGAGTCATATATCCCTTAAAAGTAGGATATCTACTGTTCAGGCGGTCAAAAATATTGTTCTTTAAGTAGCAATGCTCTTCCGTTGCTTCAGAGCCGGCAAAGTACGGAAGTTTTAAAACTTCTCTGCCATATTTAGGACTTTTTCCCACACTTTATTTACTTTCATTACCTGATTTTTGAAATAAATATGCTTGTATGTTAACTTGTTACCTGCACTATGTTACTGTTCTTCACTGTAAGTTGACACGTTCTTCCATGTATCTCAAATCAATGTTTTCACCGATAGCATGCTCAATAACTTTTTAGGTAATCCCAAGCATTACACACATTTTTAATGCAATGGTACAAATCATGGACAATATATCACACTCACACATGCCTGGGTCATTTTTTCTTAACTAAATTTGTTTCCATGAATAATGTTTTTATTCACCTATAATTCACTTTATAAAGTTTTTATAACAGTTTTAAAACAAACCTCTAAGTGTACTTTCAACCCCGATCCCATTTGGGATCAGAAATGGAATTATATGTGAACTCCCTTACAGGCTCAAAGGGACTGACAAAATTCATACCGAGGGATAGTTTAATTTCCTTTCTATTCTAATCTGGCAGGCAGAGCCTAAAGGAGTTATGCCCATTGCCCATGCAGTGTTGAATTACAAGACAGAGAGATCTTAGCCGCAGCGCTTGGCCCAGAAAGTGTCTTAACCTAACCTAACCCTAAAATATATACTTATCTCTCTCTTTCTTTTCTTTCAATGCGGCAAGCGCGCGCAACTCCTTTAAGCAACTACCTGCAATATACATTATTATTATTATTATTATTATTATTTACTGAAGGTTTATGAAGAGATAGCCTCCCATTTCTCAGAGACAAGACACAAACCCTGGCCCAGAGTTCTAGAATTCATTCAGGTTAGCTAATATTAGGGGTGTATACAGGAATTTGCCAAGGGGGGGGGGGTAGCACCAATTAGGGCCTGAAACTTCCCTTCTGGGAGGGAGGGGAAGGGGCAGACTGAGCCCTCATGGCCACCATCTCACTGTAAACGCCTCTGAATACTTTCAAAACTTGATCTAGAGCACAGTTCAACTTCAGTACAATTAACTTGTAAACATAGAAATAGAGTTCGGTTTTCCTTCTTTACTCCGAAATGAATTCCTGACTCCCAGCTAGCAAAAAAACTATTTTAGTTATACCACCTCGTATTTACGACAGGCATGTAGTTTATACCTGTTGTCTTCTACTTTTTTTTTTATCAAATTATCGCTAAGAAGTTTGCATTTAATACTGTCCCCTGAATATTTTTAGAAGTTTATCAGATATTGAAATTAAATATAACATGTAAGGTCGTCTTCTTTGCGTAAAAAATTGAGACTAACCTAACTTCTCTGTAGGATATACCAGAGGGCGGAGTACTGTTGGATCTGGGTTGTGGGAACGGAAAGTATCTTGGTCATAAACCCGGACTCTTAGAGATAGGCTCAGATTTCAGTCATAATCTTCTTAAGATTGTCACAGACAGAGGATTTCAAGGTATGTCGTCTTCCATAATTATTTTATATCAATGAATTTGATCAAAATTAAACTTCATTGCAAAATTTGTATGGGTTTTTCAAATTATTTATAGATTTAGTTAATTCTTAATTTTCTGTTTGATGATTTTCGTGTCGTGGTCCAGGTTTTTTAGAGAGGTGATTAACTAAAAACTGAATTGGTTGATGGAGTGATTGGTTGATTGTTTGATTGTGCAGGTGTAAGGTGTGACATGTTGTACCCTGGATTCCGGGACGGATTTGCTAACGGAGTAATCTGTATCGCAGCTCTCCACCATCTTGCAACCGAAGCTAGGTTCAGAAAATTACTTTTATTCAAATTTTACTCCGTCAAACTTTTAATTAATATCTGACACACAAGAAGACCAGATAAATGACAACAGAGGAAATCGCTAAGATTGTACATTTTGTACATCATAACCTTCAAGGAAAACTCATACACCCTGATATTAGCATCATGAGAGATTGTACATTTTGTACATCATAACCTTCAAGGAGAACTCATACACCCTGATATTAGCATCATGAGAGATTGTACATTTTGTACATCATAACCTTCAAGGAGAACTCATACACCCTGATATTAGCTTCATGATGTACATCATAACCTTCAAGGAGAACTCATACACCCTGATATTAGCATCATGAGAGATTGTTATGAACAAAAATTACCAAATTGTCCTTTCTGTAAATTATTGTTCAAATATATTTTACACTCAAGATCAAAATCTTTAAATAGGTTTTCTACTCCATTTTTTTTAAAAGGTTCACTTATCTAGGGTACTTAAAATACTCGTGTTTTATTTTAGCTTAAAGAGTAAAATGATCATCATACAGGGTGTCCCAATAAACATGGGAATTCAGTGACGAATTCGATATCGTCTTTTCAAATAATTCTTTGATTTAGAATAGTGATACCTACTGAGAAAGCTGTAATTTGTAAGAGTTTCGTCTGCTATGTTCACATTTTGTTTGTTTGTGTTTTGACTGCATACGGTTGTACTTAGTAAAACAAGAAAATTGCAGTATACAAACAGAGTAAACTTGCGGAGACATTATTGACACATCTTTATAGCCATTTATCGTTTTCATAAATTAAACTCTAGCAGACATAATTATATTATGGCTTTTGAAATTAGGTATTACAATGCTAATTCATAACAAAGACGATATCGAATTCGTCACTGAATTCCCATGTTTTTTGGGACACCCTGTATTTAAATTGTTTTTTACAAATGTATCAAGCAAACAATACAAATTGTCATTTATTTTATTTTGATATATTTTGTTCAATTAATGAACAGTTTTTAAAGATTAAGTCGTCTTTATATTTTCGTAGTTTTATCAAATAAAATTGTTTTATTCAGGAGAAGAGATTCAGTTTTAGGATTGCACCATCAAATAAATCAAACTGAATTTGACGAAGCTTGATTTTTAGAATCAGGATTTATGGAAAAAAGTTGATGATACCATTTTTTTCTTTGCTTTTTTTTTCTCTTCTCTTCTCATTCTTCTCTTCTATGTTAATTGTTTATTATTTCTTCCTTATTTTATATTTCTACGAATTTTTTACTTTTCAGTATTTCTCCGTATTCCTCTCATTTGCTCTCCTACTTTCTTTTGCCCTGTTTTCTTATTATCTCACTTTTTCTTCCTTCTAAACTTTATCTTTCCTTCCTTCATTTCTTTCTTTCTCCTTTTCTTGTTACCTAATAAAGTTAGAATGGATGGAATTATTTTAAATCGGTTCTTTTCTTTCATGGTTTTAGATTTTATTTCCTACATCCCCCCCCATCCATGCTTATTTTGAAGGTCCAATGTACCCCAGCCATGGCCCGTCTGCTTGAGTCCGGAGGTCGTCTTCTAATCTATGTGTGGGCCAAGGATCAGAAAAAAGAGGAAATGTCGTCTTATCTAAAGCAGAACAAGAAGAATTTCAAGCGAGGAGAGTCAGGAGAGAAGAAGAAGCAGGAGAAGGGAGAGTTTGGATTGCCAGTTCATATCAACAGAACTGTTTTTGAGCATCAGGTGCCATTCGTACATCAAAAGTTTTTTAACAAAAAATTTAAAATAGTCCGAATCAGGAAGGCCCGATTGACGATCAATCAGACGACCTTTCCATCGTCTTTGATTATTAAATAGTTTACGGTATTTAAATGACTATCTGATTTTTAAAATATGCAACACCATTTTGGAAATGGCAGGACTATACGGCTATTTTGTGATTATTGTTTCGTCAATCATATTCCTTCCTAACTCTAATTTTGTAAATACTTTATAATTACATCCTTTTCTTCAAACTATACTATTGAGTTTAAAAGATAAGTTGATTTTAATATATATTAGTTTTGTACGCCATAGACGCCATTGGTGTTAAAAACGAGGGTTGAGTAATAGTTTTTATCTATGTATTTTTATAACTCAGAGTTTATAGTCGTTCACGAGCGATTAATAACAAAGTTTTCATTTACCTTGCAAGAAGGGGACAATATTGCTAAAAGCTTGCGTATTTGTTTCTTAGGATGTCTTGGTTCCTTGGAAGCTGAAGCCTTCAAATGGAGTTGGAGAAATGAAAACCTTACAGAGATTCTACCACGTTTTCGAGGAAACCTGTCAATATCCAAACATTCTTTTTAAATGGACTGTCAACTAGTCTTGTTAATCGTTTTGATTCGTTTTTTTTCTCTTAGAAATTTGCTAAAAAAACATAACGTAAAACGATCCTAAAATGAAGGTGTTAAATCGATTGTTAGTTTTTCATTTTTTAGGTTAAATATATTGCAAAGATTAATTTAGAAAATACAGTTTTGAAGTGTTGAAAGTTTTATTATAGGGACCGTTCATTTAAATAAGTGAACGGTCCCTTTAAACGTTTTGAAAAACGAACCAAAACGGTTAACAACACCACTGTCAACCTAATTTTATGTAAACCTCTGCTTTAAAGATTTAACTAATTTAACTAATTTAACTTCTAAGTTTAAGGGTTGACGGTTTCTTTAAATGACTCTTTTAAAGGGACTATAAGCGTAATTTCAAGTGACCCTCCATGTAAAAATGACAATGCCCGATTCACAACGGTACCCTGTAAACATTTTTCTGATCAATAATGTGGAAGATCCTGTCGTTTGTAGAGAACCCATGTTTCTATCAAAAGATAAATGACATTGAAATCTAATTTATACTTAATCAGACAAAGCTTTTAAGGTGACCGTTGTGAATCGGACATTGTCATCTATCAATTGAAACTGGTTGATATTACGCAAATAGTCCCTTTAAGTAAACTCTTAAGAAACGGTTTAAAATTACGGATAAGAACAGAGTATCTGATTAGGAAGGAGAACTAGAGAACCTGGTTCTCTCCACGGGGCAGTTTAACCTGATAGAAACCTACTACGACGAGGGGAACTGGTGTATCATTGCAGAACGGAAATAAAAAATATTAATTTCTAAATTGTTTATTTTTTTCATTTTACATTTCAACATGAACTTAAGAGGATAAAGCACGGGAAAAGGATGTGAATAGAAACTAAGGATTGAATAAAAATGAACTATGTTGAAAGACAAATGGTCTAATCCAAATTCCAATGGTTTAGTTACAGGGTTATCCACACAAAATGAAACTTTTGTGATGAAATTTACCTAAATAGCCGTTTTCCTTAAATTCATGATTAAGAATTCAGGGATTTGGAACGCTTTGGCGCTTTGGGTGTCGGAGAAGATGAAGAGCAGGGTTCAGGAGAGGATGAAAAGCAGGGTTCAGGAGAGGATGAAAAGCAGGATTCAAGAGAAGATACAGAGCAGGGTTCAGGAGAAGGTGAAGAACAGGGTTCAGGAGAAGATTAAGAGCAGGGTTCAGGAGAAGATGAAGAGCAGGGTTCAGGAGAAGATGAAGAGCAGGGTTCAGGAGAAGGTGAAGAACAGGGTTCAGGAGAAGATTAAGAGCAGGGTTCAGGAGAAGATGAAGAGCAGGGTTCAGGAGAAGATGAAGAGCAGGGTTCAGGAGAAGATGAAGAGCAGGGTTCAGGAGAAGATGAAGAGCAGGGTTCAGGAGAAGATGAGGAGAATGATCACGGTGATTATAACTCCAAATGTTAGACTTCTGAAAATAAAAGGTTTATATTTGTTGCTAAATATATGATATTGTTTAAATATATTTTATTGACCCGAACACTTGACTCAAGTTGGTTTAGAAATAGTTTTTATTGAGAAGGCTCGAAATTATTACGGTTTGTAATAATTTAAAAATACAAAAAACCTTGATCCTGGAGCAGTGTTGCATCCGTCCTTGTCATCACAGTAACAAACACCTCCGTTGCATCCCTTAATAAATTCTTCAAAGACAGATATATGAATTTAATGGCTTACTCATAGGGCTTCCGAACCTTCAAACAGGTAAGTAAATTTACCAGGGGAAGAGATGCCGACCACATCCATCCTATCATGCATTGAACTGAACCCAAATAAAACGAGTTTTTGTCACAAACTCAGATATTTTATCCCTATATCTTTTGAACCTGATGGTGTAAACCTTTGGTATTTCAAACTTAAATATTGGATCTGACAAAATTCAAGAACTAGGACATCGGGTTGCAGAGATATAGGGATTGCAGGGATTAAAAAATTATTTGTGGTAAAATCTATATATGTAGTTTTAAAGTGGATTGTTGTACAATTGTAGTTACTAAAATGTTGAAAATATTCCAGAATATCCAACATTTCATGAAAATATTCCAGAATATCTAACATTTCATGAAAATATTCCAGAATATCTAACATTTGATGAAAATATTCCAGAATATCTAAAATATTCCAGAATATCTAACATTTCATGAGAATATTGCAGAATATCTAAAATTTGATGAAAATATTCCAGAATATCTAACATTTGATGAAAATATTCCAGAATATCTAACATTTGATGAAAATATTCCAGAATATCTAACATTTCATGAAAAAAATCGTCGAAGATCCAAGTTACCACTAACAAACTAAATAAGTATTCTTCATAAAACCTTTCCTTAAAACTTTTCTTAAATATACTTTAGAATGATTTACATTTTTGGAAACCTTTAAATAAAATAGAATAAGTGAAACTTATGTTCTGCTCGCTGGCAATTTAACTCATCTCACATTTGGTAAAAATCTTTAAATTGGACGAAGAGAAGAAGCTCTCCTCATTCAGAACGTTTAAGCTTGTCCTGGGACCTAATTTAAAGAATTTGAGTTGGGTTGCAGAACTACCTATACTGCCGCGTTCAAATCACCGATTCAAAGTTAAAGATTCATAAAGTTTTGAATCGGTAATCCAGGATTTAAACCGGTGGTTTCATTGACCTTGCTGCAGATTATTAAATTCAGTCCCTTCTCTGGTTGTACCTTATAGTCTGGATCAAGGAGTAGATGCTCATACCAGCCCGGAGCTCTGACCTGAACACAGTCAGGGGTTATCATTTTAAACCATTACTCTGCGTTTCTATCTGTTATATTGTAAAAAGTATCAATCAATAAGATTTTGACCAATTTATAAAACATTTGCGTAGATAAATTTCGCCCCCCCCCTAAAAATTGAACAAAAAGCAGTAAATTCCTTTTTTCTTATTGTTCAAAGTTTAAAAACTTTAGTTCTCTCCTACTTTCTATCTGTAAACTCCAGTTCTCATACTTTCTATCTGTAAACTCCAGTTCTCTTACTTTCTATCTGTAAACTCCAGTTCTCCTACTTTTTATCTGTAAACTCCAGTTCTTCTACTTTCTATATGTAAACTCCAGTTCTCCTACTTTTTATCTGTAAACTCCAGTTCTCTTACTTTTTATCTGTAAACTCCAGTTCTCCTACTTTCTATATGTAAACTTTAGTTCTCACACTTTCTATCTGTAATTTTACAGGTATATTAGTGTAAATAATTAGATAGAAAACAATTTTAACGGGTATTTCAGAACATTTATTCAATTCTATTTTTGGTTTCTCTTTCATCCCTTGATTCTTTTATTTCATATCATAAGTTTCCTTAGGGGGCAGACCCCCCCCCTCCCTTCAGGAGCTCAGGGTGGGGACCCGTGGGCCCAGGCCCCCCTTTAATCCGCCCTGGATCAGATGAATAATACCTTAGGGATGCAATCCTTCTTAACCTTCCCATTGTTCGGAACCTTGGAGCAAACCCACGCGGTTCCTTCCCGCGCTGCTTTCTCATCTCCGAACTCATACCGTCTCTCATTCACCCTGTAAGGCAATATAAGCGTAATTTCAGGGGGATCCTTCATGCAAAGATGGCAATGGCCGATTTTCAACGGTACCCTTGAAAGATTTGTCTGATTAAGAATGAATAAATGTTCTTCTTGCGTTTAACTGTTCATTTTCATTTACGGTTTCTCTGCGGAAGTGGATTGCACAATGGAGAAGCTCACAGAAAAAAAAACATTTTTCGGGTCAGAAAAACAATGATATTTTTCCCGTTTTCATTCAGATTAAGGTTTGCCATCTGCGCATTGAGGGTCACTTGAAATTACGCTTACAGTCCCTTTAAAAGAAGTGTCAGCGAAATGTTGACCCTTTAAACATTTTTCGGAGAAAGAATAGTGTACAACTCAGCATTTGATATTTGCAATGGTTTCTGGTGTTAATAACATCTAAGAGTTGTTTTTAGGGGAGAAAAAAAGATATCTCACTCCCGAGACTTGGAGAAAGGTTCAAACCGATATAATTACTTCATGATCATGATATTAGTTCCTTAAACCGATATCTTTTAAATAATTACTTCATGATCATGATATTAGTTCCTTAAACTACCTTCCCTGTGGTCACGTGATGTCCCGCAAAAAATTTGGGCCCGATCGGTTCAGCCGTTTTGACGTTTATTGGATACAAACAGACAGACAAACAAACAGAAAAGCCAAATTTAATTTTAGATTCTGAGTTTTCTGAGCTCTGAAGGTGGAGAATACTTACTGTTTGATATATTTGGGGTAATGTGCTTCGTTACAGTCTATCAGCTGGTAGGTGTTTATCTTAACAATTTTATTTGTTATTATTTTAAACACAATTGTCAATTCACTCCTTGACTTTACTGCATGGCAACACAAGACACCTTTACAGAGAACCCGGAAGTTTTAGAAATACTAACAATTGAGATCATCATGTTTTTTTTAGACTTTATAATTTTACCGTTGTGAATCTTTATAATTTTACCATTGTGAATCTTTATCATTTTACCATTGTGAATCTTTATAATTTTACCGTTGTGAAACGGGCAGGCTCAGTAACATCTTGCCATATAACAACTTGCCGTTGTAACATTTCGAGATATAACAACAACTTGCCTAAGTAACATTTCGCCGTATAAAAACAAAAACAAAATAATAAATTTTATTTTGTAGAAAGTAGTAGTTTAGTAGTAGTTTAGTAGTAAACGTATATGTAATTATATAAAATTATGAAACATTGTTCAGCTATATTGATGAATACATAGATACATAACATTTTTTGCGGATTTTTGGTTTTTGATTCGTGGATTTTCTGGTATAATTTCATTTACACTACAATTTAATTTAAAAATTTATATATAGGCGAGTTGTTGTTATATGGCGAAATATTACTTGGGCGAGTTTTTACTAAGGAGAGTTGTTATATGGCGAGTTGTTATATGGCGAAATGTTATATGGCGAGATGTTATATGGCGAAATGTTACTGAGCCAACGGTCATGTAACTTTGAGCTTTTAATTTGGTTTTGGACTTTTTAGATGAACTAAATAATTTGGCAACGAAAGCATTTAACGGTAAAAGTAGGGTTTCCATTTTTTTCTGTATCAGTTCGGATCTGTAGAGGCCTTACGGAACCCTTTCTTAATTCAGTTAAGAAAGTTAAGGGCTCCGGCCTTAATTTCCTAAAGTTTTTATTTATCATTTTATCATTCTTCACAGCTTCAAGAAAGTATTATAATTAGTTAACCTCTGTTTGGTCGAGCATGGTTAGAGTGACAGGGTTGGAATATACATCGTGGGCTCCTATATAACATTTCATACCACTACCTAAACACAACTTATAGAATATACATCGTGGGCTCCTATATAACATTTCATACCACTACCTAAACACAACTTATAGAATATACATCGT